TTGTGTATTACATGTATAATAGAACTTTTCTACCGGATCCTACCAACTATCCTTGGCTAAACAATTTATTACTCAGCTATTCTCCGTTATTATCTTACTTCAGTCAAATACAAACTTACCCCTGGTCTAACGTTCGTGAAGCTCCAGGTGTAAATGTTGGTCTAAAACCTCCTCATGCTCCTGTTCCATCTATTGCTAATTTTAGCAGCCCAAATAAAACATATCCCGGTGATTTTGGCATTTTAGGCAACATTAACACAAATTATTATGTTAACATTACTACAAGTGGTTCATCTTTTCAAGCTCAGAACTTCATACCGGTTCCATTTTTTCAAAAGCCAATTGAAAGTAACACGTACTCTAATATTGATCAGCTAGATTATGCATACGATGATATATTAAGTGATAGTATTCATGATGTGATCAACGCATTAGCTAACGTAACTAAAGTTCCACTAAAAAATCAAAATCAGACAAGTTCCGATCTATTATATTATAATATTAAAGTTGCAGGAATAATAACAAAAATGCCTTGGGGAAATATATTATTTGATTCAGCAAACAATTTTTCTAAACAATGGAATTATACTTTACAAACTGGCTCAGATATTCGAATTTCTGCCGCTGTTTCTTTTCCATCTCAAGGTTTGAGAAGAATAGCTCAACAAAGTGATTTAAGTAATGGTATTATACGAACTGTTAATGGTACTAATGGTGGCGGTCCTACTGCTGTTGGTATTACTCCAATGTATCGTGTAATGCCACAAGTGGTGTCCACTAATATCAAGATCCCAGTTGGATCTTTAATCGGTGGAATTTTATATCCGTTTGGTGTCTCATTCCTTTTACCAATTTTCGTGATTACCTTAGTGAAAGAAAAAGAGGATAGAATACTAGTTATGATGAAGATGAATGGGCTAAGGACTTTTACTTATTATCTTACTCATTATATACATTTCTTTTCTGTGCATATTGTTACTACGTTTGTGTTTATAATCACTGGGTTAGTTTTCAAAATGGAAATATTTACAAAAACTGATCCAAGTGTTTATATTATTTTATTTTTTGTATGGGGTCACGTTGAAATTGCGTTAGCATTTATCTTTTCTTGTTTTTTTTCGAAAGCAAGAATTGCTTTGGTTTGTACTTTCTTAATTGTTTTATGTGGAATCATCGTTAGCTTTGCTGCAGAATCTTTATATCGTGATCTTGATTCCGCGCCGTTAGCATATTTTTTATGGCCTCCTTTCGCGTTTTATAGATGTCTTAATTTGATTAATAATGCAAGTGTTAGTTTGATTACTCCACCATATAGATTAAGTTATTTGATTGTAGGAAATGAGGTTTTTAATGGAATAATATTTATGGTGGTTGAATATTTCATATTGTTGATTTTAGCATTTTATTTGACTAATGTTTTACCCAGTGAGTACGGCATTGTTAAACCTTGGCATTTCATATTTACCGAACCATATTATATGATTAAAAAACATAAAAAGAAAGAGGAAAACGAAGATATTATTGAACTTGAAAAAGGAACAGTAGAAATTGATCCAGATGAAGTAAACCTTGAAGATGATGATGTTAAAGAAGAGAGAAAGAGGGTTCTGGGAAATAATTATGACATAGATTCTCCATTAGTTATGAAACATATGAGAAAAATTTATCCAAGTGGAAAATTGGCAGTTAAAGATGTTACCTTTGCTGTTGATAGGAATGTTATTTTTGGACTTTTAGGACCTAATGGTGCAGGTAAACATTTATTCATTTCAGTTAATTTCATTATACAACCTAAAAATGCCAATTTTATTATATGTTAACCTTTAACTTTTAGGAAAAACAACGTTAATTAGTATTTTAACCGGATTATATCCGCCGACTTCTGGTTCCGCAACAATAAATAACCTTGACATTCTTACTAATATGCGAGAAGTTTATCTGTCTATTGGTGTATGCCCTCAACATGATATTTTATGGGATGATTTAACAGTTGGTAAATAATAGCATACAAATTTTATTTATGCGTTTATGAATTTTGTGTTTAATTATGCTCTATTTTTTCTAGGTGAGCATTTATTATTTTACGCTCGTCTGAAAGGTATTTCAGCCG